TCATTAACAGCTGATTTCATTGTATCACATAATATAGCAACTTTGTCTGTTTTTTTTTTTCCTATAACTAACCATTTAAAGATCTGAAAATTTAAAAAAAAAGTAAAATAAAATGATTGTTTAAAAAAAATATTTTATATAATAATATTATGTAAACTAATTGTAAAACTTATGTAAAACTAAAAACTAATGTTATTAATATTAGTTTTTAACACTATTACATTTTAAAAATGAAATTTTAAAAGTTTATATAAAGATTTTTTATTCGTCATAAGTTTAAATAAATAAAATTTAAACAAAAAATTTAATTCTTATAATATAAGTTATATTATAACCCTGACGGAGGTCCAAAGTGCCCCACTTTGGACCTCCGATCAATGAGCCCCGCATAGTCAACGATCAATGTGCCCCATTAGATACAGTTGATATATTGATGCCAATAACTTCTATAAATGCAGTAACCAACTCAAAAAAAGAAATTTATTATAAACTTAACACATATGAATTTACAATAAATTGGTTGTAAAGTCATACGGAAATCTAATTAAAAATTTATTTGAATTTGTTTACAAATTTCAAAAATCACTTTTCATGATGAAAAACAGTCTTTTCAATTTTCTTAACGCTGAAGTTGATCTTATCAAAAATTATTACGGTTAAGCAATGAAGGGTAGTATAATGGTTAATTAAATTTCAATCTCTGTTAAATTAAGGCAAAAGTAAACGAGTAAAAGCTAAAAGATCATACTGCCCCGGCGATCAATACGCCCCCATCTCCCCTAAATGATTCTATAAGCATGTTTCTATAAACTATAAAGTTTCTTAAGCTTTGCTGTTTGAGTACTTGCCCATGAAATGTTTGCATAGCTAATGAGGCTGTGAATTAGCCCAAAGTAGATTAATTTAAGACTATTGATGTACGAGCGAACTCGATACATTAAACCTATGATTTTTGTAATTTTTGAGTGGATATATATTATATAAGGAAGCCAGGATAATTTTTCATCAACAACGATTTCCAAGAATCTTATATTGGATTGCTCTTTAATTAATTTATCATTTATAAATAGGTTCGGCAACTTGAGATGAAGATTTTCTTCTTGTGTTTTTTTATGAAAAAGTATATAGTTTGTTTTCTCGGCATTAAGTGAGAGTTTGTTAGCCTTTAACCAGTTATTTACTTTATTTAGTTCAATATTCATGTCCGCATAAAATTTCTTGATATCATTGTTGGTAAGAAATAAATTTGTGTCATCTGCAAGCATGACTGAATTAAGTTTTAAGGATGCATTACAGAAGTCATTTATATATATATATATATATATATATATATATATATATATATATATTATATATATATATATATATATATATATATATATATTAAAAAAAGAAGAGGACCAAGAATCGATCCTTGCGGAACTCCACATCTGACATTTAACACTCCAGTGTTAAATGTCATATGTGGAGTTGCGCAAAGGCGGAAATATTTGCCTCTCTTCGCAAGAGGCAAATATTTCTGCCTCCAATTTGACGGCCGCAGCCAGTTAGGAGGCAGAAGCCATTGGAGGCGGCCTCTAAACGGCTTTGCCTCCAAAGTGTCTTCTGGAGGCGGCCACAATTGGCTTCCGCCACTTTATTGGCGTCGGCCTACAAAACATTTTGCCTCCAAAAAAGAACTTCGGCTGCGGCTGCCAATAGAAAAGCGGAAGCCACTGGAGGCAGAAGAAAGAACATTTGTCGCTAAAAATTGATCGAGAGGCCGCCGTCAACAGTTAAAAAGTCGGCCTTTCGGCAGAAAGTTACTTTAGAAATTTACAATTGAATTACTTTTGCTAATTTAGGTACATCCGGAAATATCCCAGAGTTTAATGAAAGCTTTAGTATATGTAGGTCTTTTAAGACTGTTTGTTTGCAATAACTATATTACTAGATATCTCATTAAATCTTGGAGTTTTTTTTTTTTTAAAAGACAATATACGTCTTCTTCTTGCTCCGGCCATTTATTAAATGTGTACGATCTTTTTTATAGTAAATTTTACTAAACGGCAAATGAAGTAAATATATAAATGAAATAAAAATAATAATTATTAAATAACACTAATAGTTAATACGCATTAACATAAAACATTAAATGTTAACATATTGCTATAGCAGTTGTTTAAATAGTATTTTATCAAAATTGAATATATGTTAGGATGTTTTTTGTCCGTTTAGGGATCGTCCATAAATTACGCAATGAAATATTGAAATTGAAATAAATATTTTTAAAAAACAGAAGTAGAAGATATAAGGCTTTTTTCCACGGCCATTTTCATAAAACTTAATAGGCTATTTTGATTTTTTATTTAAATTAAGACTCTGCGAGGGAAAACTTTTGATCGTTTTTGTTTTGTGTATTGTGAAAGTTTGCGTTGCCTAATTTTTGGACGATTCTTTAGTTACTTTTAATTTATATCAAATTATAGGAGTGCAAAAAAGAATATATGTACACTCCACTTCCCCAATACCTATTTAAATCAGTCGAACTAGTCATGTATATTATGCATATACATTATGTGTATATATTATATATATATATATATATATATATATATATATATATATATATATATATATATATATATATATATATATATATATATATATATATATATATATATATATATATATATATATATATATATATATATATATATATATATATATATATATATATATATATATATATATATATATACAGTTAAAAAAAGTATTAAGGATATGAAATGTCTGTAAATTTAATTTAGAAAAACTTATATTTTTTCTAATCTCTTAGTGTTCAAAAAACATGAACTTACAAAATTTGTAACCCCCTCAAATTGAGGGGGGTTAAAGCTTTGTGCAATTATAATTTTTGAACACTAAGAGATTATTGTATGAAATTTAGAATTTATCGATGAATATAAATTTACTTGAGAATTGTACAAAAAATATTTTATCAACTTGTTGCTCTCTTGTTTGGGGTTTGTGTGGCCAAAATTTTGGGGCTTTTTTGTTCCCAGACTCCAATCATCGCAATTTTTTGCAAATCATCTTTATTTGACATAAGTATAAACATATAAATTTTTGGGGTTTGTACCATGTCTGGAAGTTAGTTATCTCAAACATCAAAAAATGCTGGATCCGCGCCTATATATATATATATATATATATATATATATATATATATATATATATATATATATATATATATATATATATATATATATATATATATATATATATATATATATATATATATATATATTATTACATGTATATATATATATATATATATATATATATATATATATATATATATATATATATATATATATATATATATATATATATATATATATATTATAACTAATATTGTATAAAAAAAATAAATCGCAAAAATAATTTTTTTTTATTGATTTTTTAAAGTTTCCAATTTATTTTTATATTGTTTATATGTTTTTTCATTTTTATAGGTCTTTATTTTCAGAATTTTTTCATAGAGCTTTTTTTTTAGAAGATTTGATAAGCCCATTTGTCATCCAAGGACTTTGTAAGCTTTTGAGATTAGTTTTCCGTTCAATCTTTGAAAAACGCTACTTCTTACAGTCTTAAGAATGTGTGTTTAAAGATATCGTAGGCCATATTTGTGTTTTTGCAATTCGTAATCTGATCCCAGTTTTCTTTTAGTAAGAGGCTTCGAAACTTTGTTATATTTTTTACATTTTAATTACGTCTTTTAATTACAGTTGTTTCTTTTTTTAAGTAAAATGTCTTGATTTTTGCAAAAATTTGAGGTCAATTATCATTTTGTTAATAAAATATTAGAGATAAAGCGTTTCTAAGTTTGTTGCTATGACATTGGAACAAAGTTTGAACAGCAACTTTGTTCCAATGTCAAAAAATAACAATATTTTTATAATATTGATAAGGAAAGAGGCGTGAATTTACTTTCAAGTGCTTTTCCGCGGTACCCTGTGATAAGATTGTAAGAACTTTTTTATTTATTTTTTTTTTTAGGTGCTCCTTCTTGGAGCGCCTAAAAAAAAAAAATAATAATAATAATAAAAGAAGATACACTGAAGGAAAATAATAACATAGTGTAAACCAATTATGTAAAGACATCATCTAGTCAAATTTTGTTGCCAAACAAGCAAAAAATATATATATATATTTGTTCCAAATTCAAACAGTTTAAAAGATTATGAGCAACACTTTACTTTTCTTTAAAAATTAATAAAAAAATCCTTAAACTAATGCTCAAAAAAATTTCTTTTTCATTATCTACTCTAATAAATCATTTAAAATTTGGATATAAACTTCATAAAGTTAACATGCAGTCTAATAGCATTTTGTAAAATAGGATATGGTAGAGAATCAACTGATAGTCATACTAATAGCTATTGTCATACGATGAGTCGCATAATGCAAATTAATAACGCTAATATACATCTCTAGCAGCTATTTTTGTTAATGATTACAGGAATTTATTCTAATGAAGATTAACACAAAAACACAAAAGGAAAAAATTTAATAAAAGGAAAGAAATTTTTCACTATTATGATCTTGAAGCGTCCAACAAAAATCACAAAAAATGTTAATATTCGTCATCTTTACGAAATAAAAAATTTAGTGTGTTTCAGTCAAGCGAAGGAGCTAAAAGACTTAAGATCACTAAAAAAAGGTTATTAACATAGAGCAAAAGACTACCTTTAACATTTTGCTCTATTAACATAGTGCACAAGGTTGAAGGTCAATTGTATTATTCTGGCCAGTTATGAAACTTTTTAATGTTAGTTATTTTTAGTTTATAATTTTTTTCGAAGTTATTTTTTTCAGTTTCATATTTTTCGAACATTCTAAAAAAATATTTGAAACATTTCCTTTTCCGTTTCCTAGCCAGGTCCTAAATTAAAACAAAGTGTGAATTGAATAGCTAGAAAGTTGGTAAAACCAAACTAAACAAACAAAAAAGCAAGTATATCAAATCCTAATTTTCTTTAAAAACTTCATTAACATAAAAATAAGTAAAACAAAAAGATACACCATTCCAGATGAAGAAAACGTTTTATAAATAGAGGATAGACAAAAAATGAACGTATACGTGTATATAAACCAATAAATAGTTTTTAATTAGATTGATAACTGCATTTTAGCATCAACAAAAAAGAAAACGATTTAGTTATAACAGATTAAATACGTAAAAATAAAAAATAAAATAAAAAATACGACCCAGCATTTTTAATCAAAGCAAAAAAAAAAAAAAAAAATTAAAATAGGATACATTATAAATGATTCTAAAATATTTTCTCAGCTATAAATCTATAAAGGTATAATAAAAGGCTACGTTGACTCTAAATTAAAATCAAACTCTACCACTAAATATATATGATCAGACGGAAAATGTGGATGAGGAAATCCGATAATTTTATTTTTCTTTAAATATTCACTGTCAATTTGACCGAGTTCACCGAGAAGATTAATATCACTGGTATAAAAAATATAATCTAAAACTCCTGTAAAGTCATATGTAAAGTTAGTAAATGGCAAAGGATTTTTTTTACCAGCACGACTTAAGTTAAAAGGATGAGTTATTATTTCTAATCCTTTTTTATCCTTATCTGCATATCTTGAAAGATAACCCCCGTATTTTAGTTTCTGAAAATCAGGATGACTCACAGGTATGCGACCGTGCTCGAGAAATTCTATTGCTCCAGAATCTATCATCGAGTTCATATCAGCACAAATAATATTTGGCACCTTTTCAATTTTATCTAAAAAAAAGTTTTGATTTCAATTAATCGTAAAATATGTGCTTGTACAAAAAAAATACATATATGGACAAAAAAAACTTATATAGCCTATAAATCAATAAAAACTTAAATCTCAAAAAAAACTTTCATAGTATTAAGCACGTGAGAGCTTAAGCAAAACAAAAAAAAAATAATTATAATAGTAAATACCCTTAATTATCACTAGTTAATATGCTTAATTAAAAAAAAAAAAAAAACATTTTACATTCAGCTGTTATTTCGTCCATAAATTTCTTTAGCTCTCTCATCAACATCAATGTCTGAATCACTTTCACATCGCGATACTCGGGATCCCAGTGGATATGAGCATTAGTAACAATTATTTTTGGTTTGATATTATCAAGCTCAGGCACTGGTTTTATCATCTCTAGCAAAGCCATAACACAAATATTATCTCTCTGCATGACTCTGTTTACCATATCATCAGCTCCTTCAGCGTGAGCTGCAGCTAACTGGTTAAATTCGACTAAGTGTTCTTTAATTAAAGTAAACCTAAATAAAATATAAATATAAATAAAATAAAATAAATAAAATAAAATAAAAAAAATATATAAATAAAAAAATAGAAACAAAATAATTTAAAAATAATCATGTTTTAACTGATACTTAAAACTTTTCACAATTATACAAATGTTTAGCTTATACTTGTTTAGTATGAGTTTCACACAAAATGTTTAGCTTAAACTATTTTGAAAACAGAAAATTTTTTTCAGTCAAACTTTCATGCTTTTTAAAGATTTTTTAAGAGTGGAATGATATGAACATATTTTACTGTGTTATTTTTCAGAAATATGTATCAAAATAGATAATTTTTAAATACTAGAACTGTTTTAAATACTAGAACTCTAATTTTGCACGACTTTTTAATAATATTTCTTTTGATCTTATTCGAAATCTTTTTCGCACTTACAGCATCAGGTTTATAGTGAAGAAATGCTGGGCTATTTTTTTCACCAATTCAAAAAATAAGTTCACACAGATACTTTACTCATTCAAAAAAGATTCACATTATTGGCTTTAACATGGCTAACACACAGGTGGGAAAGGGGGTTAGTATTTGCTACTTTTACCCAACTTTAAGTATCTCAACCACATTTTAATGTTGGTTTAGCATAATACATAAAATAATGCAAATAAAAGTCCAAAATTATAATATAAAAAATCAGTATTTTTTAGAAAAAGTGTAATCTTTTAAAAGTATGAGAAGGTGTTGTAAGCGCCCTTTATAAGCTTTTAATACATTCTTTATATATATTTACTTTTCTTTTAAAAACACTTCTTTTGATACTAAATTGCATTTTGATAAAAATTGAAAAAAAAATAATATAAAGTTTAGTCACATTTTCTTCAACAAATACATATATCAAAATTTTTGTATTTAAAACGCTATAATATTTTGTAGAATTGTTCAATTTTTATAATATTTTCATCTTTAAAATATTGCACTGAACCTTTTTCTAATATCGCATAACAATCTAGTATTTAATTAAATTAAAATTTTTATGTTAAATACCTAGTGTGTTTGGTTTTAGCGTGTAGAGTAAGGGTTCAGTAAATTTTGTTCCTTTGGCATAATTAATAACGCAATGATATTCAATAAGCTTGCAAGCAATGTTAATCAACAAATTTATTCGAAACTTACTTTTTTTAATTAACAAAATATTTTGTCTTTAAACATTTGTCAATACTGAAATGGGATGAAATTCAACTGGTAATTAAAAGTTGAAGTTTTTCAAATTTTTTAAACATAAGCAATATGTAAACAAAAATTACAATTTATAATCAAATGTGATTTTAAATTGATCATTTGGTTAAGATTTGGGGTTAGTTTGACTAACCTGAAATTTTAAATTTTTTAGTACTTTGAAAATATGAAAATCTAGGGGGGTGTTGATTGAATATCTAGGGGTCATGTAGGTTGAGTATCAGAATATAGGGAACTGGCCCTATGTACAAAAAAGTAGTTGTAGAAGTATTAAAAATTACAGGAAAAAAAAAAACAAATTGTGAGATTTATTAAAACTTGTAAAATTTATTGAAGAAATTGCTTCAAGAAAAATACTAAACCCATTTAAGCATGGAAAAAAGGGTACTGAAAAAGAAATAGAAAAACAGAAAAAGAAACTTTATTTGTAAATGAAACTTTCATTTGTAAATGATTTGAACTGAAAAAAAAAAATGTTGACATTTTTTCTACAGTTTTTTTTTTGTTTTAAAAAAATGAGTTTTAAAAAGCAAATCATTCTGTTGGACAAATAAGCATATTAGATGTGTTTACAAAACAAACAAAAGCCTCTATTGGCCAAACTTTGAGCAGAAATTTGCTAGAACAGAAAATCAGGCGTAACAGCCAAACTATAAACATTCAGCAGTGTTATATGAAGCACTTTGGTTTTAGCATGGATGACAAATATTATAACAAACTATAACTATGACAAATATTATAACAAACTAGTCAAGAGGTTTGTGTCCATGATACAAACCTCTCAACTAGTTTTATACTATTTAACCCTTGGTTCACTTTTTTGTATATATAAATGATATGCCAGAAATAGACAAGAACTTTTGCTACTGTTTGTAGATGATTGCTCATTGCTTTGAACAAAAGCAATCTTCTAAAGTCCCTGGTAGTACCGCGCTCAACTCTTTTCTCCGCGCAGCGGCCTTGTTCGTCAAGGTTTGTGTTTCGGAGTTATAGAGTTGAGAGAGGGTTATAGCCACAAAATAAGTAGCCTCCTCGTCTGTAGTGGCCTTCTCGGCCTTGAGGAGGTGAAGTAAAATAAAATTAAAAAAAAAAAAAATCTAATATCTTATCAGTTCATAGTAATCTGAATAACTTATCAGATCAATCCTGTGACCAGTTCAATCCTGATAGGAAGAAAACACCTTTATAAAAAAAACTTGGTGAAAAACTAATAACCTAACAATAACTCAAAAATAATGAAAAATTAAGGTTTCATCATTTTTCATTAATGATAAATGGAAGCTGATTTTAACTGATTAAAACAACAAAAATTGAATAAAACCTTGGTGTGATACTTAACAATAAGTTAAAACGGAAAATCTGACATATCACAAATAAATGTAATTCAAGGTACATTTTATGCAAAAATTCAGGTCTTGTACAAGGTCTATTTTGTCAGGTTGTACACAACCTTTTTGTCCAACCTCGTTTAAAATACTGTTGTGTTCAACCAAGTCAGGCTGTATACAACCTTTATCCAACCAAGTCAGGTTGTATTTAAACTTTATTCACCAATTCCGGTTGTATTCAACCACAGAATATTACGCAATCTACTTGGAATTCTTTTTTAAAAAAAAAAGAATAAGAAGTAAAGACTTCAGAAGCTGTATAAAAACTAAAAAAAAAAACTAAACTTGTATCATTATTATTATTTTTTTTTTACATCTTTTTCCAACAAGGCTGCAAGCAACCACATATGATGCAAGCAAATTATATGAATCAGGAAAGCAAGATAAAGGAAGCGAATTCCAAAGAACTTATGTTTTAGGAAAAAAACTAGACTAATAAGAGTTCCTGGAGCACTTAGGAACAGTCACAGAAAAAGGATAAGACTTAATTGAATGATGAGTAACACGAGAATGAATTTTAGTAGATGGTACAAGAAAAGCTAGCTGTTTAGAGCAGTGCCCATCATAGTGTTTGTAAAAAAGAGAAAGAGAAGCAACGTTACGATGATGTGATAATGGTTGGAGGTTGGCTGCAAGAGCAGGTTTAACTATGTTTACAATGCATTTTTGCACCTTGTCTAAAAGAGAAAGGGCATCATTAGAAGATCTGCCCCAGATATGGCAACAGTATTCTATGCAAGGATGGATTTAAGATTTGTTGAGATAAAGAATGGAATCCGGAGATTGGAAAGGAAGGACTAAATAAGCTTAAAGATGTTACCAGATACACTGTAAGAAAAAAGCTTATGGAGAAGGACCAGCATGCCAAACTTTATCAAAAGCTTTAGAAATGTCAAAAGTGATATCCTTAACTTCTCCACCTATGTCTAATACATGATAAAACCTATCTGTTATTACTGTTAGCAAATCAGCTGTAAAACGAAAAGACCGAAATCCATATTGATGATCAGAAAGTCAGTTATAAGATTCAAGATACGAGGTTAAGTGTTTGTTAATTAAAGATTCAATAACTTTGCTTAAGATAGAAAGAAGACTAATGGGGCAGTAGCTAAATGAGTCAGATCGCTCTGCAGAATTTTTGAAAATAGGGATAACAGATGCCGCTTTCCAACATGCCAGAAAAAAAAACTCTGATAAGCACTTGTTAAATAGTATAAACAATAATTCCGGAGAACACTTCTGCAAGACTACAACAGGTATGTTGTCTGGACCACAAGCTGTAGAAGAGTCTAAGGAAGTCACTTGATACAGAAGCTGGAGTGATACGAATGTCAAGCTATGGATCAACCTGTTTGGAGGATATATCAGGTAGAACACAACTAGTGGAATCAAAATATGATATTGATGAAAACTTCTTAGCAAACAATTCAGCTTTGTCTTTAGGTGAGGTGACCAGAACCATACAAGAGAGGTGGAATAACACTTGTCTTTAGGTGAAGTCAGAACCATACAAGAGAGGTGGAATAACAGATTTGCCCTTATTATTGATACTGTTAAAGATTCTCCAGAAGTCACGAGAGCCTAATTTTTGTGATGAAGTATAAAATTTTTTGACCTGAAAATAGCAAGCTTTAGCGTTAGACAAAACCTTTATACAATGGTTTCTAGCAATAGTAGACAAACATCTGTTTTTTGGAGAATTGTTTTGCTGATAGTAATAGAAGTAATGGTTTTGATCGGAAATTGCAGCAGCACAATGTGAGGAAAACCATGGAGAAAAGTGAGATATGACCTGGAATCTTCGAAGGGGATTAAAAGATTTCATGCCAGCCTGAATCCATGAAGTTCTGCAAGAAGCACATTTGTCAGCAGGAAGACGAAAGATTTCCACCCAAGAGCTATCACAAAGAAAATCACAGAAAGAGTCCCAGTCAGCTTTAAGGTAGTTGTAAGAGGTTCAATGATAGGGGGATGAGATATAGGTAGAATAGAGAAGCTAGATGATTCGGGTTGTCTGGAAAGCGAGTTGGAAAGTTGACTATTTGAGTTAGGGATTGAGAAAGACAAAAGTTGTGGGGGTTAACGCCTGCAGTGTCTCTGACACTAGAGCCAAGCCATTCAGTGTGATGAACATTAAAGTCACCAACAACAATGATATTGGCTGATGGATAAAGAGAGAGGGCTTGGTCAATTTGAAATAACATCAAGAAGAGTGCAGTCTTAAGATGAAGGAGAACAACATAGAGCAAAAAGAAAGGCAATAGAGTGAAGTGGTGCTAAACGAAAGCATATAAAAGAATAGTCTGTGGATTCAAATCTAGTTTCCTGACAAATGGGTAAATTCTTACGAATGGAAATGCCCAGGCCAAGCATGTGACTATTGGAGTCTTTACGAATTA